AGAGTATTCTTAGGAAGTTTCAGCTGAATCCAAGTTTGAGCGATTTTCGTCATAGTAGCACTTTAAGAGAATGGTCTGCAAATGGGAAAACATTACACCCAAGGTAAATAGGTGTATGGATATTTAGTTCACTGCAGTGTTAAAAGGATACTATTCAATACTTCTGTGTCTTATCAGTGCCATGTGCTCATTTTTTCTCCTCCTATTGTCCTCTGGATCATCCATCAAGTAATCTACTATAAATTTAGTTATAAAATGCTGAAAGAAACAAGCGGGATTAAGTATTACATGTAATAGATTAATTAATTATCTATTATTCATTATCTAATCTTATTGGTCTGTGTCGTTGGATTCTACGAAAAAATGTGAAAAAGTTACGTCTGGAATTTTCTGTCTTCTACATATTTCTTTTACTCCTCTCCTCACCTCTTGTTGATTTACTGCTCCTTTTGTTAATTTATATCTTCTCCCCTGTTACTGCCCTCCTTTTTCTTCATTTCTCTTCACTTATTTTTACTCTTCTCTTCTCCTCTCTCATTTTTCCCCTTTCCTTTCCTTCCCTTCCCTTCTTTTCCTTTCTCTTCTCTTCTCTTTTTACCCTTTCCCTTCAATTCCTTACATCTTCCTTTGGTTCAGCGGCCCCTTCTTCTGGTTCCTCCTCTTCTGATTCTTCAAAACCAAAATTGACATGTTTATTATGGAACAATGAGTGGTCACCATCTCCCCATGGAAAAGCCTAAAGAAAACAAGAATACCATTAGAAGAGTTAAATAGCATTAGCAGAATTACAGTGCAACTACTGTACCTGCGGCCACTTGGACCAACTTATTAGACAAGAAAACAAATTGAAATGCAGAATGGAAACGATACATTCAAAATTTGGAAATTTACTTTGTTACGTGTAAACAATTAAATAGCCATTATCATTTTCTAGTGGGAAAAAAAAAAGTTGGAAGGCTATTATTTTCTACTTCTTTCTGATTGGCTTCACTACCCAAAGTTGGATTGTATTGTTTTTATTCTAGGATTTGATTGGCTCTCATCATTAACTGTAAAGCAAGATTTTACAACTATCTATATGGATGAAACCCACACCACCTACAAAAATAATAATTAAACTCAAAGAGTGTTAATATTTTTTAATATCAATGAAGGGGGGGGGGGGGGGGGGGGGGGGGGGGGGTTG